GCTCAGGCTCAGCTCCCGGAACGCCAGGCTCGCAGACAGCAGGGGGCGCTGCAGCACAGAGCGAGCCGCTGACTGGGGCCAGAAGAGAGTGGTTGCAGGTCCTCTGCAAGAGCAGTCAGTGGTACCACTGAGTCCTCTCTCCCGCCCCTGGCAGGGAAACTTGAAATTTTGTACGGACCACAGCCTGTTTTTTATTTCTTTGCTGTATAGGCTTTTCACACTATTTTAAGCTTAGGTCATTTGTTTTTAGATAGGAAACTTGAAATCCAGAAAGTAAGACGGCTCAAGGTACCTTAAGGAGCTGGGTGTTGTTAGATCTCTGTATTAATCTAAGAGTCATGGGAAATGTTGAATGTGCTATCATGGTGCCCTCAAGGGAGAACCAGCCTATCAGTCCTCTTATCACGAATCTGTGACTCAACGGACTGTAGGGATGAGTGAAGTCCTTGGTGAATGTGTTGGACTATCAAGGACCGCCAATGTCTCAGTCCTGTGGGAGTGGCAAAGCCTCACCCTTGGTCTGAGGGAAGGCAGAGCCTTCCTCTGCTGCCTCTGGTCTGATTGGAAGGTTGACAGTGTTCGCAGAAAACATTCAGTGTACACCCACACCGGACGACCTTAAGTCTGCTCTCCTACAGAGGTCAGCTAACCCTGGCTCCTCGTTCAGGTGTATACAGTAAGCCCATCTCCCTTGTTCAACCATGTGTCATAAACACACTGAGATGGGGGTGGGCGCTGCTGTGGCCTTTCTATCGCCAAGTGCAGACCACCTGGTCCCTGGTTTTCTGTATTCATGTGTTTGTCATTTCTATTTCTCCTTCCCTGCCTCAGTGAGGGCTCCAAGGCCTGTTCAAGGACACAGAACAACACTTTATCTGGATTGGTTCTCTGGATTGGTGTTACCTTTTCCCTGTGTCAGGGCTTGGTTCTCTGGATTGGTGTTACCTTTTCCCTGTGTCAGGGCGTAACTGTCTGTCTATAGCAGTGGGCTTGATGGAACCTGACAATCCGGTGACAATTGTCTCATTGAGAGATCTAGCCTCGTGCTCTTCCAGCCCATTCTGGTGACTCTAGATGACTATGGTATTAGGGGAGGCATTAGGGATGCCAGGGGCTTCATGACAAGCAGTAATCTTGTAGGGAGCCATGTAAGAAAAAGACACCTGGTCCTGGCTTGGCAGGAACTGCAGCAACTTGCTTAGAAGGTGCAATGTGGGGCTGGAGAGATGGCTCAGAGGTTAAGAGCACTGACTGCTCTTCCAGAGGTCCTGAGTTCAAATCCTAGCAACCACATCATGGCTCGGGGGGGGTGGCTGGAGAGATGGCTCAGTGGTTAAGAGCATTGCCTGCTCTTCCAAAGGTCCTGAGTTCAATTCCCAGCAACCACATGGTGGTTCACAACCATCTGTAATGAGGTCTGGCGCCCTCTTCTGGCCTGCAGACATACACACAGACAGAATATTGTATACATAATAAATAAATAAATAAATATTTAAAAAAAAAGAAGAAGAAGGTGCGATGTGTGGGCATGCTGTTTACTTGACCCAGGGCATGTTGGGTGGCATCTTTCAGGCTGGTTTGATCTACTTTACTCTGGCCAGGTGTTATAAACACAGTATGTCAGAAACATAGGATACACTTGTGTCTTTCCACAATATCAGAATGTATCATGTAAAGGAAAATTCACAAGTTACTTTGGTTTGCTATAATTTACAAGTAATTTCAACTTCCTTTAATGGCCTGGCTATAGGCAAGCAAGGTTTATCTTATTACTTTAGTCTTAGGTAACAACTCTGAGTTACAGGTTACATTTCACTGTGTGTGTGTGTGTGTGTGTGTGTGTGTGTGTGTGTGTTACACGCAGATATGTAGGTTACCAAATGGCTAAAAATATTTAACGAAGCTTCCTGTGAAGACCTGGGTGGCCTTGAACTCATAGAGATCCACTTGCCTCTGCTTCCCTGAATGCTGTGGTTAAAGGTGAGTGCTACCACATGTGTTTCCTTAATTCTTTTAATGATTTATTTTCTGTTTCATGTGCAATGGTGTTTTGCCTGTATGTATGTCTGCATAAGAGTGTCAGATCCTCTAGACCTGGCAATGCAGACGGTTGTGAGCTGCGCTGGGAATGGAACTCAGGTCCTCTGGAAGAGTAGCTGGTACTCTTAACCATTGAAGCATCTCTCTAGCCCCTGTGTTTGCTTATTTTTGACACCGGCTCTTACACAGCCCAGTATGACTTTGAACTTGCTGTGTAGTTGAAATTCTGATCCTTTTGCCTCCACTTCAAGCGCAGGGATCACAGGGTTTCATCACAAGACTCCTTTTATACAAACCTGGGGATTCGACAAAAGCATTCTACCTATGGAGTAGCATCTTTGGCCCTCTCTTTGTGTTTTTAATTTTGTGTGTGTGCACGTGCAGCATGTGTGCTGATGCATAACTGTGGACATGAGTATGGAAGTCAGAGAGCCCTGGGTCAGCCATCTTCAGCGATGCCATCAACTTCATTAGAGAGTTGGTCTCCTATTGGCTTGGAAATCACCAATTAGGCTAGAGGCTAGCCACTGAGCCCCCAGGGATCTGCCTGTCTCCACTGCCCTAGCACTGGGATTGAAAGAGCACACTTTTGCCAGGGCGGTGGCGGCACAAGCACTTGGGAGGCAGAGGCAGGCGGATCTCTGTGAGTTCGAGGCCAGCCTGGTCTAGAGAGTGAATTCCAGGACAGCCGGGGCTGATGCACAGAGAAGCCCTGTTTTGAAATAAAAAGGAAGGAAGGAAAGAGAAAAGAAACACCACAAAGCAACTTGGGGAGGAAAAGGTTTATTTGGCTTACAATTCCACATCACTGTCCATAATCAAAGGAAGTCAGGACAAGAATTCAAGCAGGACAGGAACCTGGAGGCAGGAACTGAAGCAGAGGCCAGGGAGGACTGATTACTGGTTTGTTGACCCATGGCCTACACAGCCTGTTTTTGTCGGCGTCGTTGTTGTTTTGAGACAGGGTTTCTCTGTGTAACTGAAATCCCAGAGATACACCTGCCTCTGTGAGAGCCAAAGTTACATATAAAATTTTAATTACTATGCCTAAGAGATCTATGAGACAAAAATGCCTCTGATCTGCAGCTCCTTGCCCAAGGACAGACAGCTCCTGAGATACTGGAGGCTACTGTTTATGGAGATAACAAGCCACATGTTTTCACTCCCTAAATAAGTTTGTTTGACCCATCTGCACCGGATGTGCTAGATCACAAACAGGCAGGAGTTTCACAGACAGCAGTTTCACAGGCAAACGATACATCAGGCTGTATGCTTGCCCCTGATTGGATGTAGTCTGGAGGTACATCAGGCTGTATGCTTGCCCCTGATTGGATGTCGGCTGGAGGTACCTCAGGCTGTATGCTTGCCCCTGATTGGATGTAGGCTGGAAGTACCTCAGGCTGTATACTTGCCCCTGATTGGATGTAGGCTGGAAGTACCTCAGGCTGTATGCTTGCCCCTGATTGGATGTAGGCTGGAAGTACCTCAGGTTGTATGCTTGCCCCGATTGGATGTAGGCTGGAGGTACCTCAGGCTGTATGCTTGCCCCCGATTGGATGTAGGCTGGGGGTACATCAGGCTGTATGCTTGCCCCCGATTGGATGTAGGCTGGGGGTACATCAGGCTGTATGCTTGCCCCCGATTGAATGTAGGCAGGCTGTATGCTTGCCCCTGATTGAACCTGACGGGAAATGCAATGAATTATGGGTTTACCTTCTTAAGCCTCTGTAAACCATTATTGTAGGCCATTTCCCAGGAACTTGGGTATGGGCCTGGCCAGAGCCCATTCACCAGGTCAGAGTTTGAAGGCGTAAGTCACAGACAATCCCACACCAGTTTGGAATTATGATTAATAGAATGGTTATTTATTCAAAGGGGAAAAAACTTACAGATTACCGTCCCAGACAACAGCCCCTCCGCGCGAACAGGAAAGGAGTCCAGGGGCCGGAAACGGAGCCGGAAGACAAAGACAGAGTGGAGGACAGCCGCTGCTTTTTTTAAAGGGAGAGAGACCACGCCCCAATGGGCTGGTAACTCAGCGGCGATTGGCTGAAGGAGCTGAAGGAACTCCCACAGCAAGAGTTAACTAAAGCTTGCTTCAAATTTGACTTTAAACTGTGGTAGCAGTCTTATTCTCCATTGGCGGGATTAACACCTCTACCTTCCAAGTACTGAGATTAAAGACATGTGCCACCACCATCTGGCTCAGCCTGCTTTCTTATAGAATACAGGACCACCAGCCCGGGATGGCACCATTCACAGTGGCTTGGGCCCTCCACATTGACCATCAATTTGGAAAATGCCTTACAGCTGGTTCTCGTGGAAGCACTTCTCAGTTGAGGCTCCCTCCTCTGTGATGACACTAGCTTGTGTCACAAGGGTTAACTAAGTAGATACGGGCTGGAGAGATGGCTCAGCAGTTAAGAGCATTGCCTGTTCTTCCAAAGGTCCTGTGTTTAATTTCCAGCAGTGGCATGGTGGCTCACAACCACCTGTAATGAGATCTGGTGCCCTCTTCTGGCCAGCAGGCATACATACAGACAGAATACTGAGAATACTGTATACATAATAAATACATAAATCTTAAAAAAAAAAAAAAGTAGAGTCAGCTAATTCTCCATAGCTGGATCAGTCCTGTGCACTCTGAGAAACTGCACCCTGGTGCTAGGGGCCGCTTCTGTCACGCCCACTTCCATTCAGCCAATAACCGTGACAGAAGGCGTTCTTGTGTGACGATACCCTCCTTTTTAAAAAGCCAACTGTCCTTGATCCCAGTTCAGACAGGGCCACTACAGACCATGAGGCATTGGTCATTGGCACAGGTGAGGGGCAGACACAGGGCAGCAGCTGGATCCAACAGGGGGAACCAGGGGCATCCGGCACAGGACACTGCGGTGTGACAATCCACAAATGGCCTTGCAATGTAACGACTCATGTGTGTCAGGTGTGAGCTTTCACAGTTTGGGATACTATGGTCATTTATTCAGGCAAATTAGCCCAGCCCAGCTGGTATGGAAGGGAGGGATCCTGGAGTCTAAAATTAGGGATGGACATGGGGTGGGTTGAAGGCAGCGTCCTGGTGTGAGGGTGGGGGTGGAGAGGCCTCCAGGAATCCACTGCATCTGGGCAGTCTAGGAGGCCAGGTACCCAGCGTCCACCAGGATGCCAGAGCCACTGGTCGAGGCGCTGTGGTCGCTGAGCAGGAAGAGGATGCTGTTGACAACGTCCTCCACCTCTGCAGAACAGAGCAGTCAGGGCTTCTGCTTGCTCTCCTGCCTGCTGGGAGCCAGGCCTGCTTCCCTCACCCACGCCCCCAGCTGACCTGCGAACTTCCTCAGCGGGTGGCGCTCCATTAACTTCTTGGCAAAGCCAGGTTTTGCAGAGACTTTCTTGCCCATATCAGTCAGCACCACAGTGGGGTTTACGGAGTTTACCCGGATCTGGGGCCAGAAGCCACGGGTGGTGGCACAGCCAGTGAGCTAGCCCTACCCACATGCTCAGGACTTACCCCAGCACAAGCCTGATGAGACTGTTTCACTCTGCCCAGCTGAGCACTGACCCCCGCTGCTCAGAGCAGTGTGTAGTCTGCGAGCCTCACCCCATCCTCACCCTCAACCCCCAGCCCTGCCCCAGGTGCCCGTCATCTGTCCCTCAGGTGCGCGCCCAGGCTCCTGTGCCTACCTTGTATGGCCCCAGTTCCATGGCCATGGCTTTGGTCAGCATGGTTATTGCTCCCTTGGTGGAACCTGTAAATGTGCGTGAGTGTGTGTGTGTGTGTGTGTGTGTGTGTGTGTGTGTGTGTGCGCGTGCTGAGGACCCCTTAATTGTTCAGCCCTCCTCCTGGGAGACCCACCCAGAACCGCCTCCTCCTACCACAATGAATGGCGCACTCACTGTAGGTGGTCAGGCCAGGGAAGGTGACATAGGCCACCATGCTGGAGACGTTGACAATGGACCCTGGCACTCCACGGTTAATCATGCCCTTGGCTACAATCTGGAAGCCAAGAGTTAGGGGTAGCTCACCGTGCCCTATGCCACCCCACCCTCCCCAGGTGCTCATCTCCAGGCCATGGAACTCCTACCATCTCACCTGGGACACCTGCAACACAGAGCGCACATTCACCTTGAAGGACCTGGCAGGAGAGAGACAATGTCTTCCTGCACCGCCCGACTTCCGCAACCCTCCCCAGCCTGCCCACGCTCCCCAAGTGCCCACCTGTCAAAGACCTCCTTGGTAGACTCTATGAAAGGCTCTATCAGCGCCACGGCTGCATTGTTCACCAGCAGGTCCACGGGGCCAATACCGCCCAGCGCCTTCTCCGTGGCCTCCCAGTCACCCAGGTCCACACACACGGGCTCTATGCCCGGACACTGTGGGAGACATATTTTGGTGACCTGAGGCATTGTCCCTGTCAGCTTCTGATGTATCCCTGAGGGTGGGAAGCAGGTCCAGGCCAGGCAGGGCTGTATGCTCACCTCTTTGGCAAGGCTGACCAGGTCTGCGTTGGTGCGTGTCACGGCCACCACTTTGGCTCCCGAGGCGTGCAGGGCTTTCACAGTGTCCCGTCCAATCCCTGTAAGGACGGAGGGTGGCGGCATTAGAGCCCTGTAGGCCTGGTCACACCCGGGGTCTGGGTCCCAGAAGGGAGTAAAGGCTGTTGCCCCCATGTTGCTGCAGCCAGCGGTGAGAGGCTGCTGGCCCAAAGGTTATAAGTCAGGATTAGACAAGACTATCCCTGAGCAGAGGTCAGACTGACTAGCACCATGCCGAAGGAGGCACCAGGGCAGTACCCTCCTGATGGCGTCTCAGAGAAGGATATTTCTGGTGCCCATCTGCCCAGCCTGGATCTAGGGGGCTGCCTTGGAGCCAAGTTAAACTTGTCCTTCAGGATGTGGCACTGTGGTGACCAGGCAGAGAGTGGCATTCTGTCCCAGTGGGCAGTGGGTCTCCAGCCAGGCAACAGAAGCCGTCCTGGGTGATGTGAGAGTCAGGTTCGATAGGACTGGGCTTGTGACAAGGTCACCTTCGGCCGCTTTCCTCTCCCACTCACCTTTCCCTGCCCCTGTCACCAGGGCCCTCAGGCCTTTGAAATTCAGCTTCATGCTGCTGACACCGACGGAGTCTTCCTGCAGCAAGGGGAGGGACTGAGGTTGTTAAGATTGAACTGGAAGGTGGGACAGCGTTGGGGTTAGGGGCAAATGACCTGTTCCCTGTGGGGTTTGAAGAAGCAATGGGAAGGAGTGTGTGCACACGTTCAGAAGGCCTGACAACACCGTGGGAAAAGAGTCCACACACACGCACACACACATGCACTCACACGCACACACGTGCATGCACGCATGCACACACACCACACACGCACACATACACGCGTGCACACACATGCACTCACATGCACAAACACCACACACGCATGCACACACACACACACACACACACACGCACATGACTGTGAGAGGGCCTGACACAGCAGTGTAGTGGGAGAGAAGGTGGCAGCCTGGGAACAGAATTTGTGTTTTCAACATTCCAGCACTTAATCTTGAACCCAGGGCCCTGGAGCACGAACGGTCAATGATGCCTGCTGAGCCACACTCAGCCTAGGGAAGTGAAAATTCTGGGTTTGGGATTCGCCTGGTCTGGACAGAAACATCAACTTGTAACGTTTTATCTTGTTATTATAAATGAGGGTAGTGGCCTGATCTAGCTGCAGCAAGTGACTTAGATGCCTGCTTGGAGCAAGACTCTGGGCACTGAACCCAAATGCCCAGCAGCCCAAGGACCCCACTGTGCCTGTAGTCTGTCCTGTGAGGACAGTGGGGTCCTTCTTACCTCTCCCTCCCCTGCTGCGCCTACCAGCCTGGGACTCTGCCCTTGGTGACCACATGGAGGCACCTTCTGTCCCCTGAGGGGTGACTCTTGCGAATCTAATGGATTCTGGGGTTTCCTGCCCCAGTAGTGACCCCTGAGACCCTCTGTGGGTCTCTGCTTCTCAGAGTAGACAGGTGGCTCTTTAGGGGTACAGTTTGAAGAAACAATCAGAGGCTTTATTGTGCACCTCAATTCCACCTGAGGCTCTCCTATCTTGTGTACCAGGGATCAAGGAACAAGTAGGTCCGTCCAGGAAGTCATGTTCACACGGCATCTGCACCAGGCAGGGGGCTCACAGGCACAGACCATCCAGGGACAGCCCAGGGAGCAGGTGTGCTCAGACTCCTGCCTGCTGCCTCTCCCTTCCTCAGCCAGGTTCAGCCCTGCGACCGTGTGACTCTAAAGACGTCGGCTGTATTTCAGGTGCGCTACACGCCCTGAGACCTGGGGGGGTCCCTGGCATGATTTGGGTGTGACTCCCTCAGAGAAGGCTGAGGCAGCGCAGGGACAACAATACCCTTCCACCAAGTGTCCCTCCACACTGGTGTTCTGGGTTCATCCTGGGGCTCCGGGGGACAACAGACACCGTGGGAGGCTGGGGGCCAGAGAGTCTGTCCCAGGGCACACACAGGTTGACACCTAATGATGTGCTGCTGCCTGGTAGAGTTTCCTCACCTGCTCACTGACTGTGTCCTTGATCCCACCCGGAGCCAGTCACCTGAGTCCTACAGCCAACCTCCAGGCAGCACTGAACACTGAACGCAGGGGTCTGGCCTGATCTACCCTTCCTCTTCTATGATGAAAGCAGCTGATTGTGACCAACCTTCCGTCTGTAGCTGCTGGATCCCCTGGGAAAAGGCTGGCCTTTCAGGATTTGTTGCTGATCTCCACTGCTGGCCAGCTGGGCATGGGACTGTGGTTTATCAAGAAGGACCCAGTAGATGTGAGTCCCTGCCTCTGAGCCTGTCTCCACAGCCCCAAGCTGTAGAATGGCTGATGCCCACAGGTAGGGGGCATACTCTCCTGGGTTTTGCGACTGTAGTCCTCCGCTAGCCTGGCTCTTTGGGGGGGCCTTTCTTCAGGGTGAAACTATCTCCACTCTCCATAGCTCCCGCCTTACCTCCTGTTACCTGTGTGGTCCGAAGATTTCTCAGCCCCAGAGAGCTGAGCCCTAACTCCTGCATTATGTGAGCAAGCGTTGTAAAATAGTTTCCTTCAATATTAACATCCCACCCTGCCGGGCGGTGGTGACATGCCTTTAATCCCAGCACTCAGGAGGCTGAGGCAGGTCTGTGAGTTTGAGACCAGCCTGGTCTACAGAGTGAGTTCCAGGACAGGCTCCGAATCTACATAGAGAAACCCTGTCTGGAAAACCCGGCGAACCGACCAACCAAAAACAAAAGGCAAAACATAAAAAAGCATTCCATCCTGCAGGCAAGCTCCTTAAGCAGGAAGGTAAACAACTCACAATAGCTTCAGGAAGTCCCTGAAAATAACCAGATTCACTAGGTTCCTCCTTGCCAGAGTAACCAAAAAAAGCAGGGTCACTCTCAGCCAGGCCAAGGTTCTGAAGCCAGACCAGCCGTTCGGAAGAAACAAAATTCAGTCAAGTTGTCTGGAAGAGGCTTAGACCAACTGAGTTCACTTGGAGAATGTTATTCCTTTTGGTTCCTGGTCCCTTTAAGGGGCAAGCCATGCCCACTCCCAGTGCCTTCTGACCTCTCCTCGCCATCTTTCTCTCTTTCTGTTCCCTCTCTTGGCGTGTGCACACGTGTTTTCTGTCTTTTCTCTCTCTCCTTTTCTCTGTTTCTTTCTTTCTCTCCCTCTCCTTCCCCCTCTCCCTTTCTTTCTCTGCCCCCTCCCCTTTTCCTCCATCACCCCGAATAAATATTTTAATCTCATTTTACATGTCCATGTCTCTGTGTCCTGCCTGCCTGCCCACAGCCAGCTCTGCCACTCGCCACGGGGAATCTACATCACTCTGACAGCCATCTCTGTGAGTTCGCTGCCCGGGTATCTTGGACAGGCTACACGACTGGGCACGCCAGCAGCATTTATTTTTTAAGGAATATTAGAGAGGACATTCTCCCGCCCGTGAAGTTGCCTGCAGGCTGTACAGTGTGCTCCAGGTTCCCAGTCTCTGAGTCACTGCTGCTCCTGTTAGTAACTCCTCACCTACATTCCTGTAAGTAACCCCAATAAAACACACGACTCAGAGAATCGGACTATGGTGGTGTCTCTACGTCGGTCTATTGCGGGCTTCCTATCCGGAGTGAGTGGAAGAAATGTGTCATGTTACAGGCCTCGGAATAGAGAGGAGACAAATGTGGCCCATAGGCAAATGGCAGTTTATAAAGGTAAAGGGGGGCACTCAGGAGGCAGAGGCAGGAGGATCTCTGTGAGTTCGAGGCCAGCCTGGTCTACAAAACAAGTTCCAGGACAGCCATAACTGTTATACAGAGAAACCCTGTCTCAAAAAACAAACAAACAAAAAAGTAAAGGGGGAAACCCTGTGTTAGGATGAGGTGCTGGTTTTAGTTGGGCATGTTAGGTGAAACAAAGGGGGCTTTTGATTGCTGGACTTTGGTCGTCAGCCTCAGGAGGAGGAAGTGGCCAGGAGGAGACATTGGTGGCTATATTTAGGAATGTAATTGTTGGGTCCAGAGGGGCTGCATAAAGATGTGGACAGACCACCAAAGTCTAATAATAAACCAGAAGCAAACTTTATTCCAGAAACTAGATGTTAAGTTGGGAGCCTAGGCCCCAGGCCAGAGAGTTATATTGGTCTGGACTCCAAATCCCAGCAGGCCAGATCCTGACACCCCGCCCCAGAGTATTTAAATGAACTCCTAAAAGAGGAACACATGGTCCATCTCTTTTCCTTCCTCCAGGTAGAGAGGCTTACATAGATTTAATCTACATGGGAAGTAGAAAGTAGAAAAAGACAAGGTCTCCTGAGTAAATTGGGAGCATGGGGACCTTGGGAGAGGACTGAATGGTGGGGAAGAGGCAAGGAGGGGAGCAGAGAAAAATGTAGAGCTCAATAAATATTAATATAAAATAAAATAAAATAATCTTCATGGGGCACAAAAAGCTTATCAGCTAGCTGAGACCACAGCTAGAGATGGATTCTGTAAGGCTGTGGCAAAGGCCAGTTTCTGAGAGCCCACCTTCTTAAGGAAATGTATCAAGCATTATGTCTGAACAAAGGAATTTTTACAATCTCGAGGTAAAACTCAGATACAGATTGCCTTACTTTACAATCTCCATTAACAGAGTTTTTCGGTTAAACTAGTGTTTGTACTTAATCTCTTGTCTCTCTTGGTGCTTCCTGGTAGTGTTTACTGAAGCCCTGTGCTCTCCCCTTTGATGCTGCCAGTTTCACATAGCAGGGATAGGGTGTAACCCAGAGGTCATACAGCTATTTCCTAAAGGTTAATTCAGCTCATGTCCGTGTTAATCAAGGATGGCTGGGGGTGTTAGACTATCAGTTGCAGAGAGATGCTTCGGCCTTGTAAATAGAGCTATGGGTTATAAAGCGGAGTAACCCACTGTTAGGAGTTAACCCTTAAACTGCTGAGACAGCTGCTGACAGTCTGCTCTCATTCTCTTAGGCTTACAGCTTTAGATTTCTTTAGTTCTGCATTCTTATTTTTGGAATCTACACTTTTATTCAGTAATCTAACAGTTTTTAGCAGGGCAGAGGTGTAATGGTTGTTCTGTCTCTTTAAGAGACAAGCCATGCCCACTCCCTCCCCCATCCGCTGAGGCAGGCTGATCTTCAGCTTCCAGCCTGAGCTCACTCTCTTTCCTGTCTTCCTCCCGGAGAGGCAGCTTCGCTTCTGCCTCTCTCCCACTTCTCTGCTTCCCCCTTCTCTGTCTCTTTCTCCTCTTCTCTGTCTCTCTCTCTCTCCTCTCTCTCTCTCTCTCCTCTCTCTCTCTCTCTCTCTCTCTGCCCCCCATTCTCCCTTCCCCCTCCATAACCCCCTGAATAAATATTCAACCTCACTTTGCATGTTGTGTCTATCCATGTCTCTGTCTCCTGCCCACCCACCATGTGTCTCCTTGCCTGGGACCAGCCACTGCTCTGGGACCGGCAGCCGTCTCTGCCTGGGACTGGCTGCTCCCAGAGCCCCCTGCCTGCCGCCACATGGCTTGGGCCATCACCATTTGGGACCTACAGCATTTCTGCTGCCTCCTGCTGCCGGGGATCTTGCAGCATTTTTTAAAAATCACAAAAAGAGGGAAGGGTGAGAAGGGCAAGGGCTTCCAGAATCACACGCTTGAGTGGGCTAGTTGTCCCTTCGATACCCACACAGGCACAGACCTAAAAGTCCAATGGACCAGAGTGTGATGGTTCCCGCCTATTACTGCAGCTCCTAGGAGAAGGAATTGTGGGAGAACCTTTTTGTACATGATGAAGATGTGTCATTGTGATTGGTTTAATAAAAATCTGAATGGCCCCTGGGCAGTGGTGTATATGACTTTAATCCCAGCACTCAGAAGGCAGTGGCAGAGGCAGGCAGAGCTCTGTGAGTTCAAGGTGTGTTTTGCAAACTCTGCCATGGATTCCTAACACTTTGAGGTTTCTTTTGTGGGCACAGGTAATTGTTTTTGGAGACAAGGTTTCTCTGTGTAGCTTTGGAGCTTGTCCTAGAACTCACTCTGTAGACCATGCTGGTCTCAAACTCACAGAGATCTGCCTGCCTTTGTCTCCCGAGTCCTGGAGTTAAAGGTATGTGCCACCACTGCCCAGGGTGGGCATAGGTAAGACAGCAGCCTAGGGCCTCAGGTGGTATAGGACTGGGATGTGTAGGGGGTGTTCCTACATTTAGCCTTGCTCTCCCGTCCAGATATTGGGTGTAACAACATCCAGACTCCATTTCAAGTAGCTAGTCCATGAGCAGGGCATGAGAAGATCTTAACAGCCTGGTCTGTGAGGTGGGAACTGTGTCCTGTGATAAGGGACAGTCTCTGAGTAAGACCTGCTCCCTCTGCTGCCATTCCGAAATTGAACACTTGTGGCTACCGGTGGTGGTGGGGAGCCTGGTGCAAGCTCTATTAACATGGCCAGGTGTCAGCAGAGCATCCTGGCTCCTTGGACCTATTTATTTATTTAATTATATTATTATTGTTTATTCGTTTGTTTTCCAAGACAGGATTTCTCAGCTTTGGAGTCTGTCCTAGAACTCACTCTGTAGACCAGGCTGGCCTCAAACTCACTGAGATTCACCTGCCTCTGCCTCCTGAGTGCTGGGATTAAAGGCATGCACCATCCTGAGATTTATTTTATGTGTGGAGTGTTTTGCCCGCATGTATGTCTGTGCACGGGAGGGTTGTTAGCTGCCATGTGGGTTCCAGAAATCAAACCCAGGTCTTCTGGAAGAGCAGCCAGTGTGCCCTTAACTACTGAGATGAGGGGCTCCCTGCAGGTTTCCAGGCAGGGAAGCAAACCCTTCGAAGAAGGAAAACTCGGTGCAAATGGACTTGGTCAACCTGGGTCAAACTTCAGGCAGTATAATTTGGTGGGGTGTTCATTGTCAGCGTATTTAAAGCACAGGGCAATTTGGGGAGAGGTTTCCAGGCAACAATCGGTCCAATCAGTCCAGTTGCAGGTGCACAATGAAGCTTAAGGTTTGCCTACGTAGAGACTCTGACAAAGAACACATGTGACCTTGAGGGTGGGCTCTGCAGCTAAAGGCCAAAATCTAGTGTGGTCTCTGACCCGATAGCATAGAGACCAGCGGGTCATAAAGTACGCATGATGTCCCCTCTAAGGACGGT